AAGGGGTGTTTCGAGGATTGTTGGCTATCTGTTTGACAGGAGTGCTTGTGGGTAGGCGGCAAAGGTTTATTTGGGATATTTTCTGACAATCGAGGCCCTTACTCCCACCTGCAGTACTTAAGAATCAATTTGCTGCTGTGGCTGTGCTGTTTCCAGTCGGGACTGTCACTAGACTGTTTTGTAGAACTCTGACCTAAATCCAGACTTTATCATTGCTTTAAGAATGGTTTACATGCAAGCCATCAAATCCATTTTGATTGAAGTACCCAGTTTTAAGAGCTGCAGGATTTCTAGGGCAATACGAGGAGGATATCCCCACGGGGGTGTTAGATATTAAAAACGTAAGGTCCGAGCACAAAGCGCTGACACATTCATAGGGCGATTCCATTCCTGTCGTGACACAGGCGACACCAGCCCTCCGTGACCCCCCGCGGGAGGCAGGAGGTGATGTGAGAGAACCTCTGTGAGTTCATTATCTCTAAAAGCTGTTTAATAGTTGTGTACTGCAGGCTCTGGGACATGCAAATTTCAGCCCCAAAAAAACCTCTTGCTGAATACTCTTGATTCTGTTGCTTTTCGAGAAAGATACCTTCAAATTGTTTTAGACTTTTTCTTGCCATTTTGCATTGTCTGTGAGCTCTAAAATATTTTTAAAAGGTAACAACAGCTTGCATTTGTATCTGGTTCTACACTTGGACTTTTTCATCATCATTTTGTGCAGATTATTCTGAGATTTGGGGCATACTTTCTACTTCCTTAGAGATGTTTCTGTGATAAATCACCCGTGACTATATTAGCATGCTTTCAGTTGTTGAACTTCTTGGACAAATGTTATCCAGGTACGATTCCTGGATCTAATTTGCCAATTATTTTGGAAACTGCATAGCACTGTGTGATTTAAAGATCCTGTTTTTACCTAGGCAGCCTTTCAAGTATGGGCATATGTTTTCCTTCACTTTGATATGCTGTTAACAATACTATTCGTTTAAGCAGCCTTTACTCAAGTGGCACAGGTAAGGCTGACATTCTTCTGCTAAAATGCCACCCTAGTTCTACCAGTTTTTATTGCATGTTATTTTGGAGAGTTAGTGGGAAATAATCAAAATGTTGCCTCCCCAAAGTATTCCATAAAATACAAGGAAAACCCAAAATACAATTAACATTTTATTAAAAAATTAACTCACCACTTGGTAAAGAGACATCAAGGGTTTATGACAAAGGAAATCAATGCCCTGGGATTAGACGATAAGAAAAGATCTTTAGCTCTCAGGACCCACTGTAGGGTACTGAGAACCCCCAGAAACGGGGCAGAGATAGATGAAATGTTTCAACCTGTGTTAAAAAAATGCCATTAGAAGATAAGATGGGGCAAAAGAACCCAAATTTGACTATTTTTGCTTAGAAGGGGCCTAGACATTAAGCACAAGTTAAAAAAAAAAAAAAAAACAGGAATAAGAGCGCTGTTATATTAAATTGCTCTTTCCTTAAAAATGGTCTCGCCATAGGGCTGGATCTGTAAACATGGTGTTTTTTCCCCCAAAGGTAAGATACAAAGTCAGTTGAATCTCAGGATACTTTACACTGTTCTAAATTACAGGATTTTGAACTTTTTTTTTTTTAATATAATGCAACAATATCACTTAAAATTTCATTGAACAGTTGATTCACACCTGCTTTAGGCTGAAAAATCCTTAACTTGGTGCCACTGCTTGGTCCCAAATATTTTCCTGTGACAGCTTGTCATTGATGGTTTCACACAGGTACCAGCGATGCTCTGACGATGGAGCTGGCCTCCGAACCTTGGGGAGGATTAGAGGCGGGGTGCTAGGCAAGAGCAGACACTCAGGGTGTTTGGTTCTTGGGCACCAAAGCTTTGTGGCCAGTGGAACAGAGCCCTACTATCTTGATTTTTCTCCAAAGTCTCAGCATCACAAGCTTGATAAAACAGTCGACAAAGACGAGAAACGGAACACCCCGTACAGCAACGTCTTGTCCGCAGGTCTCCAAAGCAGCTTGGCTTTTTTGTTGGGTCATTTCCTTTGGCTCTGAAAAGGGCCAGGGCCTCCTGGTAGCTGAAGGTCTCTGCTCACAGGCCCAGTCATTGCTTTTCCTCCAGCCAGACTCACCCTGACAAAGTGGCTGCTTTAACCAAGATGTTAATGAAGCGGGATTGTCACTGACATCCACAGCACCAGGACAGTCTCTCCGTGGAGTTTCTCTCCTAACTTCCTCCTTTCTTCTCCCATTCCTAGGGTATCATTCAAATGCCAACACCCCCCAAAGGAAGAAAGTTAGTTCTCCTCAATGGCAACCACTATAGACTTAGTTGTTTCAGCCCTGAGTGCTCCCCCTAAATCCAGACTATATCATTGCTTTTAAGAATGGTTTACATGCAAGCCATCAAATCCATTTTGATTGAAGTACCCAGTTTTAAGAGCTGCAGGATTTCTAGGGCAATACGAGGAGGATATCCCCACAGGGGTGTTAGATATTAAAAACGTAAGGTCCGAGCACAAAGCGCTGACACATTCATAGGGCGATTCCATTCCTGTCGTGACACAGGCGACACCAGC